AACTAAAGCTGTGACCAATCTCAATCTCTTCACCATCCATCCTGATGCTGCCAATTGGCCCAGTGGTGTGAATCATTGTCTTCTTGACATTGAGCTTCAATCCATATTGGAGGCTGCAGTCCTTGACCCTCTGCAGCAAGCATTTCAGGTCCTCCTCAGTTTCAACAAACAGGGTTGTGTTACTCTCTTTTTTTTTTTTTTTAACTCCATGGAAAAGCAATATAATTTATTTTTAAAAATTCAGACATGTACAAAAATGGAAAACATTAAAAAAAGACCCTCTTCCTCTAAGCCTTAAACAAAATTTTTCCCTATAATTTGCTACATATTCCTCAGAGGATGTATTTATAATGGGATACATGAGTGAATCCTGTGGTGATGGAGATGCTCTATATCTTGGCTGTCCATTTAATACATGTAATATTGTACGTGTATCCATATAATAAAGTCTAGCGAGATTTTGTCAGTGAGACTTAGTTCATCTTATTGCTGTTGAGTTGAAACTGATTGACAGCTGATCCTCCACCAGGTTTTCAGAGGCCACAAATTGCACAGAAGGGGATTTTGCCCATCTTTCTCGTAGTTCAGTGAGTGGATCTGAACTGCCTGTCTTTAGGTTGACAGTGTAGTTCTTTACCTACTAGGTTACTCCATACGTGGATGGCATCTTTGCAGTACTTCTTACAGCTATATATGACATAATAATTTCAAAATAAAAAAGTTTCCTTTTTAAAAAATAATTCTGCTCCTTAAATAGACTACTATACTGTGAATATAATATATTCAACCCAATCAGTTTCTTCTTTATTGAAGTTAACAGTGTGAAATTATTTTCGTTAAGTAGTTCTTTTCCCTGAGATTAAACTTCTTTCGTACAGTTTTACCTTGATCAGAAGAGGTCAAGTTCTCTATTGACATACAAAAAAAAAGGGGGAGGGGGAAATTGACTAAATGAATGTTGTGCATTTATTGAAGTGGCTTTGTTAAAATAAATTTTAAAATGTTTGGTGCATCTCCTTCAGAGGATGAATTAAAAAGCTTAGCCAATTACAGTGCTTACTTCACAGTTGCTTAAAAGCCACATACCGTTGAGGACATATTTATGGCTTAGGATTTTACTTAATAAATTATACATAGCAAGTAAATAGCTAGTACATTAAATGAAAAATGAATTACTAATAGGGTATTGGGTTGTGTGTTGATGTTATGTTCTATATAATGTTGAAGGTGAGATGGGACATGAAATGAAATAGTGTGAATTCGGGGTGGGGGGCGGGGTCCATACTTTCTTAGCTGAGGAGATGGCCATGATCACAAAGGTGACCCTACCAACGGAAGGCATACCCATTGCCTTTGAATATCTTCTTCTTGTGGTTATGTTCCATTGAGTTGCCTGCAACCCATAGTGAGTGACCCTTCTGGATATATTGACCTGCCTCTCCCAAATATGGAAAACTACTTTATAATTTGTGGTAGTAGAGGAATTGTATTCCCCCCCCCTTTTTTTTAAAAAAAAAATAGTTGGAGGTATTTTTAGTTTTGGGTTTTTTTTCCCAAACCTACTTTTAATCTGAAATTTTTATTCTTGGCAGTACTTCAGAATGTTAATTGTCATTTTTATTCATATTTGCATCCTTAGTGCACATCACGGGCCAGTCTTGTTAAATGTTTAAATAAATTGTTGAGCCACTAGATGAGTAGATGAGACTACGTGTTTTTGTGCATTCAGGTTATAAGGACAGCAAATCGCCCAATAGCTGCTGGAGACATTTCTACTCTTCAATCATTTGTCTTTCTTGGGGGACAACTGACCTTGGCCCTAGGTGTTCTTCTATGTCTGAATTACTACAGGTATGGTTTTTCATAATAATATAAAAAAAAATCTCTCCTTGAAAAATCCTTTGAATTGGAAGAAGTGGGAGTATATATTGAGCTGTAAGTCATTAACTATAAGTTAATGAGTTAGTAAGATATAAGTAGGTTATTTCTGAGATAAATAGGACAGTGTTCTGGTCTGTGATTCATAGGGTATCTCACTCTGAGTTACAGTCAACTTGACAGCACCTAACAAGAAGTAGTTAGTGAATATATATGTCACCACATTCTGCAAAATCTACCATCAGTAACATGAGCTTTAATGTACCTAAGAATGGTTCAGGAATGTTGCAGTCAGAGGAGTTAAGATAGCACATTTTAGTGTTTGCACTGTATGTTTCGTAAGAGACAAAGAGCACTTTGAAAGATTGTATAAGTAGTTGCAGTATGTGTGTATGCTTGCATACCCACATGCATATATTATACAGAAGGTCACTCTGGTGGCCTACTCTGTAGTGAGTTTGCTGCTAACCTAAAAGCTAGGCCTCTTTGGCTTATCTCATCCACAAGTGTCTCTTCAGGAGAAAGATAGGTAGTCTCCTCCCATGCAGTTTATAGCTTGGAAAACCCAATGGAGGGTCAGCTGTGAGTTCGTATAAATTTACTTAGGCTGACTGTCTCTGAAGTAGCTAGAAGCAAATATGATAGTACTTCTTTTACCAAAAAAGAAAAACTGTCTTTCCTGGGATTGTGTTACTAATCAGTGACAAAAGATAAAAGTGAACGATCTAATCCCCATATATAATTTGTTGTTGTTGTTTGCCTCCAAGTCAAGCATGACAACAGGTGACTGCTTAAAGCATGTTTCAGTGAGAAAGGAGAAAAATAAAAAAGGGCAGGGAATGATTTCAACAGGTGAGAGTTAACTTTATGGAGACTAGACCCAATTGCATGTCTTTACCTGTTAGCATCAGTAACATGAGCTTTAAGGTGCATGTTGCCATCGAGTAGCCTGCGACTCATAGTTACCCTATGTACAACAGCCCTAAACGCCACTCTATTGTGTGCCAATCACACTGTCTCTGACACACCTACCCTCAATACCCCAGTCACTGAATCCATTCGTCTCATTGAGGGTCTTCTCTTGCATGATCCCTCCACCCTCCCAGACATGACGTCCCTTTCCAAAGACTGGTCCCTCCTTGCATCATGTCCGAAGTATGTCAGACGAAGCCTCAAAATCCTTGCCTCCAAGCAGCAACCTGGCTTCACCCTCTCCAGGACAAACTTGTTTGTTCTCCTAGCAGTCCATAATATATTCGGTACTCTCCTCCAGCACTACAGCTCAAAAGTATCAATTCTCCTTCTGTCACCCCTAGTCATTGTCCAGCTCTCAGATGCATAGCAAGTAAGATGCAGGCGCACCTTAGTCTCCAGACTGACATTGTTGCTCTTCAGTACTTTGGAGAGGTCTCTGACAGCAGACTTTCCCAGTGCAGATCATCTTTAAATTTCCTGGCTGCTGGTAACAAGAGTGTTGATTGTAGAGCCAAGCAAACTAAAGCTGTTAACAATCTCAATCTCTTTACCATCTGTCATAATGCCGTCAAACGGCCCAGTGGTAAGAATCTTTGTTTTCTTGATGTTGAGTTTCAATCCATATTGAAGGCAGCAGTCCTTGACCTTCTGCAGCAAGCACTTCAGGTCCTCCTCAGTTTCAGCAAACAGGATTGTGTCATCTTTAATAACACAGATTGTTGATGAGTCTTCTCCAATCTTGATGCCACATTTTTCTTCATAGAAACCTGCCTCCCAGATAATATGTTGTGCGTATAGATTGATAGGACACATCCCTGGTGTACACCCTTCCCAATTTTGAACCATGCAGTGTTTCCTTGCTCTATTCTAATGACTGCCTCCTGGTTCAAGTATAGGTTTTACATAAGCACAATCAGGTGTTCTGGAATTTCCATTCTTCTAAGAACCACCCACAGTTTGTTGTGATCCACACAATCTGCATAGCCTTTGCATAATCAGTGAAACACAGATCGACACTCCTCTGGTACTCTCTGCTTTCAGCCAAGACCCATCTGAGATTAACTATAATATCTCTAGTGCCACGGCCTCTTCTAAACCCATCCTTCATTTCAGGCAGTTCGCTGCTGATGTGCTGTTCCAGTCATTTTGGATAATCTTCAGTAGAATCTTGCTTGCATGTGATATCAATGATACTGTTCAGTAATTTCCACACTCTGTCGAGTCACCTTTCTAAGAATGTTTTATTATCATCTTTGCCAGGTGCTTTATGAACTCATCCTTTTTCTAGAAAATTAACACTCAGTCACAGAGATTTCAGGAGCCCTGGTGGCTCAATGCCAGGAGCTAAGGTGGTATAGTCTGTAGGTTGTTGCACTGCTAACCAAATGGCTGGCGGTTTAAATCCATCAGGTACTCCATAGAAGAACGATGGACAGTCTTCTATTATATTTACAGCCTCAGAAACCTGATAGAGGGTCATTGTGAATCGGAGCCAAAGCGGTAGCAATGAGTTTATTTTGGTGGCTTAATAGGTAAGCCCTCATCTCCTAACTGAAAGTTCAGTAATTCAAACCCACCAACTGCTCCACAGGAGAGAAAACTAGTCTGCTCCTGTAACAGTTACAGCCTTTTGAGCAGTTTCACTCTGTCCTTAAGGGTCTCTATGAATAGGAGTTGACTCTATAGCAAGTAATGATAACCTTGATGTCAGACACTGATGATTTTTAGATAGGATTCTCCTCTTTCACATGGGAGACCCAGTTTAATTCTCAGTCGGCGTACCTTACATACACTACTACCCAGTGTAAACCCAGTGGATCTGCAGCAGGTCATGAGGATGGTACAGGACCAGACAGCTTTTCCTTCATGGAGTCATGCATGGGGTACAGGACCAGTCAGCTTTACGTTCATGGAGTTGTTCATGGGATACAGGACCAGATAGATTTATCTTCTTGGATTCATGCGTGGAGTACAGGACTAGACAGCCTTTCCCTCATGGAGTCATGCGTGGGGTATCAGACCAGAGAGCCTTTCTTTCATGGAGTCATGTATGGGAGACAGTCTTTTCTTCATGGAGTTGTTCGAGGGGTAGAGGACTATGCAGCCTTTCCTTCATGGAATCATGCGTGGCCTGGTCATGAGTTGTGCATGGGGGCACAGGACCAGACAGCCTTATAGACTTGACAGCAGCTAACAACAACTTGACTTAATTCTCTTTTGATTCCTCAGTTTACTAACTGTCTTAGTGTTTGAAACAATTTAGACAGGCGGTAACACGTAGGATTAACTGGATAGACTCAGGTCACACTGCTTTAGATTTGAGTCCTAGCTCTCCTACTGAATGGCTCTGTAACAATTGGCAAATTACTTAATTTAATTTTTTTTTTTACTTATCTGTAAAATCAGGAGAGTAAAATTACCCACTTTTGTTGGTTGTGAGGATTAAAATGAGCTGGAATATAAAGCACTTAAATAGTGCCTAATACACAATTATTATTAGCTATTTTTCTGCTTGATTGTGTTGTGTGGATCACAACAAACTGTGGCTGACTCTTAGAAGAATGGGAATCCCAGAAAATTTGATTGTGCTTATGTGAAACCTACAGTTGGACCAGGAGGCAGTTTTCAGAACAGAGCAAGGAGACATTACATGGTCCAAAATCAGGAAGGGTGTATGCCAAAGATGTATTCTATCTCCAAACCTTTTCAGTCTATATGCAGAACAGATCATCCCGGAGCTTTGGCTGTATGAGGAGGAATGTGGAATCTGGATTGGTGGAAGAATCATCAACAATCTACGTTATGCAGATGACACAACCCTGCTTGCTGAAACTGAGGAGGACCTGAAGCGCTTGCTGCAAAAGGTCAAGGACTGCAGCCTTCAATATGGATTGAAGCTCAATATCAAGAAAACAAAAATTCTCGATACTAGGCCAATTGGCAGCATCATTACAGATGGTGAAGAGACTGAGATTGTTAACAGTTTTAGTTTGCTTGACTCCATAATCAACACTCTTGATATCAGCAGCCAGGAAATCGAGACAAAAGGAGAATTGATGCCTTTGAGCTGTGGTGCTGGAGAAGAGTTTTGAATATACAGTGGACTGCTAGGAGAACAAACAGGTTTGCCCTGGAGAAGGTGAAACCAGGCTGCTCCTTGGAAGCAAGGTCTGACATACTTTGGTCATGTTGCAATGAGGGTCAGTCCTTGAAGAGGGACATCATACTTGGAAGGGTGGAGGAACAGCGTAGGAGAGGAAGACCCTCTATGAAATGGATTGATTCAGTGACTGGGACAATGTGGGTACGTGCGTCAGAGACAATAAGGTTGACACAGGATAGAGCAAGGTTTAGGACTCATGTACATAGGGTTGCTATGAGTTGCAAATGACTTGATGGTGCATAACAACAATAATAATGCTTAAAATCTTTTCTAATAGGAAAAGTCAGTGTCTTGGGAGAAAATTTTACATAACAAAAAACATAACTGAAATTAAAAAAAATCATTTTCCAGTTAGTGTTACTGTGATTGTTGCCTTAAAGTATTTAGTGAGTGTAAGAGTCTAATATTACTGATACTAATCTTAAATACATGTGTGTGGTCTATTCATGTGTTTGGTGAATGCTTAGACAGCAACATAGGCTCCTCTTTGAAATTTCTACACAAATAGTGACACTGGTAATATTTTCACACTGTGGTAATTCCCTTTGTGTTCTGGGGATTTCATTTCCAGTGTCCTATCTTACCAGGCCGCTTGTCTTGCCATTTTGCCATTAACCTATTGTTTTTCCCTAATTTCAGTATAGCTCTGGGAGCAGCATCCCTCCTCCTTGTCATCACCTATCCACTGATGAAAAGAATTACATACTGGCCTCAGCTAGCCTTGGGTGAGCTTAAAATAACTGAAAATATTCCCTTTGTTATTCTCAAACTGTATTAGTACTTCTAGTTAATATTATGTGACAGAGATAAATGTCAAGTCAATCATGAAATTTTCCAGCCCCAAAACAGACTTTCTTATCTTAAAGAAGAGCAGTGAGCATTGGTTAAGAAGTCTTGGGTATTTATTAAGATTGCCAAACCCATCATTTTATAAAATAATTAAAATGAAAAAAAATCTAAGTATGTTTTCAGAAAAATATAGTATCCTTGACCCAGCCCCTTTCTTCAGGTTGTTACCCTGGGCACACTGAAGAACTTAAGGGTTGAATGAGGCAACAGTCTTAAGTAAGAGAAGAAGGGAAAGTTAAAAGTATGGGTAGTATGTGTAATTTTTCAGACACTATTGAAGTCTGTTGAAAACCCTTGCTGTTAAAAGTACTTCGTATCCTCCCAGGAAAAAATTAGCCAATCTCCACTATGTATTCCCATAGTACTCTAATGTGCCACTTACTCATTTCAACAACATTAATTCAGAAATGTGTCTCACCATCAACAAATTATGAATGTCCCAAAGTTAAAACATTCTTTACAGTTGCCCCAGCATATAGCATAATGCATATTAACACTTACATTTAAGAAATATTTGTTAAAAGAGAGGAAAAGAAGTAATATATGAGAATTCTGTTGTGAAAATTTCTACTCCAACATTTCTCTATTCTCTTTTCCATTCTTAGTTCTTGAGCCATTTTTACACTAAATAAAAGTGGAACTAAAAGACATTACAAGGAACTGGTGCAGGGTGGACTTGTGGAAAGTTGTGGTGAAATATTGATCTTTTTCTGAAGAAATTATGTCTGTGGCCAATCTGGGAATCTAATGGTGAAAAAACGATGAGCACTTCCTAGCCACATGATAGTATTAAGAAAACTGCTGTATTTCCTTCAGACATTTATTAGATTCCTTCTTTGTGTCAGGAACATTACCTGTACTAGAAGAATAGAAGTACTGAAAACATACACCCTGTATTTAAGGAGCTAGAGAAGGAAGCCGCAGAAAAGCAGGCACTCCAGTACACTAGGGCATATGCACAAGCAAGCTCTGGTCGCCTAGTGATAAGGAGTTGTGCTGCCAACACTTAAGGTTCATGGTTCAAGTCCACTGCCTGCCCTACAGGAGCACTTCACTGCCTCTGGCTATCTACTGGAGGATCAGCTAGGAGTCAGTTCCTACTTGATGGTACATAATAACTACATGACATGCACAGCTGCTATGGGACCACCGAGGAGAGATGTGTAATCAGTTGAGGAAGAGCACTGTGAGTTGGACTAAGTAATCTGGAAGACAGAAGGGGGTTTGTGAGATAAGATATTTGAACATAATTGAGTTTAAGTTACCAGATGGGCTACCAGACAGTTCAGTATTTTAGCCAAAATTTCGGGAGGAGTAAGACTTGTAAAGAGAGATTTAGGAATTGCAGCATGTACTTTAGTTTACAGTCCTCAAAGAGGATGCCCTTGTCAAGTAAGCACATGTTCCTAGCTGGACTTTTTACTGTAGTTTATAGGGGAGATAGAGGAGTAGTAGACACAACATAGGTGTCTGAGTCAACCTGATCTGAGTTCCAAACCCATAATCTACTAGTTATTGGAAGTGCCAGTCATTTTATTAGAATAAGTATTGTTCTCATTAAACCTGTTATACACACACACACACACACACACACACACATATATTTATATATTTTTTTATATATTTATGTTTTTATATACATATCTCAAATCCTAAAATCATTGCTTACAAATTGACTCTGACTGACAATAACAGTATGAGTAAGACAATAGAAGTGCCCCCATGGGCTTTCCAAGGCTATAAGTTTTATAGTAGTGTCCTGTCTAGCATGTTGCTATGCTAACTGGAAGTTTAGCCGTTCAGATCCATCAGCTACTCCTTGGAAAAAGAAGAACAGTTGCCTCTTGTAAAGATATACGGCCTTGGAAACACGGTAGAAGGTCACTCTGAGTTGGAATCAGCAGTTGGTTTTTTGGTTAATATTTATAGGAGAAGACTACCCTCTTCTTTCTCCCATTATTGATTTTTAAGTCAGATATTTTATAAGCTATCTATATATATTATTGTGTCCATTAGCCTTTATAAAGAAACATGTTAGCTTAAACTGGAGCCAATAACGACCACAAAGAGTTGAGAGGATTTAATGAGATAAAACAGTACACACAGAGCCTTAAACACAGCAAGTACGTAACACATGCTGGTTCCCCTCTTCCTCTGTGGGGAACCATAAAGCACATTTAGACTTACTCCCGCTTTGTGTTTTACTAATTATAGGGTTGACTTTTAACTGGGGAGCATTACTTGGATGGTCTGCTATCAAGGGTTCCTGTGATCCATCAGTTTGCTTGCCTCTGTATTTTTCTGGAATTATGTGGACACTAATATATGATACTATCTATGCCCATCAGGTAAATAAATGCATTTTCACTGCTTTAACTTTCCTTTAGTTGCTATTTTTCAAGAACTTTAAAATAAGAGTCAAATTAAAGGGAAAGGGTATTTTTGGGTTGTTTTTGTGTTGTTGTTTCTTTTTTTTTTTTTTTTCAAAAAAGAAAATCATTCACAATTTCACAGCTCCAGCAAGATGTTTCTGGTTTGTGTAAGACATTTCTGGTTTGTGTTCATGCATATTTATTGCATAGTTAAATTTTATTTTATTTGTAAGCACTAAAAAATTTCTCTACATGCCAGGTGCTGTTTTAAACACTAACTTAATCCTATTAACAACTTATGAGGAAGATGCTCTTGTCCCCATTTTGGAGATGAGAAAACATCCATAGGGAAGTAATTTGTATCATCCAGCTAGTGAGTGAAAAGGGAGCTCTGGTGGCCTAGTGGTAAGAACATGTACTACAATCCCAAAGGCAAGCAGTTCAAATCCACCAGCTGCTCCATGGGAGACAGATGGGCAGTGTTCTCCTGTTTGATTTACTGCCTCTGAAAACTCACTGGAGGGTCAGTTATGGGTTGGTTCTAACTCAGCAACACACAACAAGAAGTGAATGAAAAAGTTGACATTCTAACCCAGACAGTATCTAGAGTTTCTGCTTTAACCCTGACATTCAGGTGTGTCTCTAATAAGTTCATTCAGGTGTGTCTCTAATAAGTTCTAGATAATAAATATTTTCCCATGATTTTACGAATTCTTTGAAACTGTCACTTTAAGAATAGCCTGTTTTGTTGATTATGTCTTAGTGTTTTAGAAATTTTATTTATTTAAGAGTTTGCCTATTTTGTCTGTTTCTGAATTTTTAGTTAGAAATAATTTGGTAATAATCACTAACATCTTTATGAATGTGACTGTTTAGGATAAATACTCATCAATAGTATTAAAGGGGATAGATATTTTTATACATTTGGTATTTACATTTATTTGATATTTTATGTTTAATAAAAATAAGTTATCTTTTCTAGCTCTTACATTCTTAATTTCCTTTTGTATTTATGAACTTTTTTAAAAAAGGGTTTTCTCAGTATTTTTCTGAAATATAACTAGCATGCATTTTATTTTATTCTCAATCATTTATTTAAGGAAGATGGCATGATTTAATTTGAACGGATTTTCCCCTAATCAATCTAGATTCTACCCTGCTTTCTTCTACTACCCCCTCACAGACAAACTACATTTGTGTCATCATGAAAAATGTCACCATATCTTTAGTTAACCTGATTTCATGAAGTAAAGCCTGGCTGACAATTGAAGAAAGGTGCCTCTATCTATTGCAGTGAAGTTTAAGACCGACACTTAGGACAGTCATATACCAATTTGATCAACTACTCCAGTAAACCGTTGATTACTCTGATCTTTTTTGCACTTCACATAATTAAAGCCATGGTTTGCACTAAAGGAGCTTACAGGAAGAAAGGAAAGACAGGTCCACAAACCCCACAGATGATTATTATCTGGATTTGGATATCTCATTGTGCCAAGAAATCTGGAGGACAACTACTTGGCCAACTGACTGGAAGAGATCTGTATTTGTTCACATTCCAAAGAAAGTGATCCAACAGAGTGGAAATTATCGAGCAATATCATTAATATCACATGCAAGCAAGATTCTGCTGAAGATTATCCAAAAACAACTGGAACAGTACATCAACAGAGAACTGCCAGAAGTCCAGGCTAGGTTTAGAAGGGGTCGTGATACTAGGGATATTGTAGCTGATGTTAGATGGATCATGGCTGAAAGCAGGGAGTACCATAGGAATGTCTGTCTGTGTTTCATTGATTATGCAAAGGTGTTTGTGTGGATCACAACACTGTGGCTGACTCTGAGAAGAATGGGAATCCCAGAACACTTGATCGTTCTAATGCGAAACCTATGCTTGGACCAGGAGGTAGTCGCCAGAACAGAGCAAGGAAACACTGCATGGTTCAAAATTGGGACAGGTGTATGCCAGGGATGTGTCTTATCTCCATACCTTTTCAATCTATATGCGGAACAGATTATCCAAGAGGCTGGGCTCTCTGAGGAGAAATGTGGCATCAGGATTGGAGGAAGATTCATCTGCATTATACAGATGGCACGTTCTGCTTGCTGAAACTGAGGAGGATCTGAAGCACTTGCTACAGAAGGTCAAGGTTTTCAGCTTTCATTGTGGATTGAGGCTCAATGTCAAGAAAACAAAGATTCTCACCTCTGGGCCAATTGCCAGCATCAGGATGAATGGTGAAGAGATTGTTAACAGCTGTAGTTTGCTTGGCTCTACAGTCAACACTCTTGGTACCAGCCGCCAGGAAATTAAAAGACATTTTGCGATAGAAAAGTTTGCTTTTAGAGACCTCTCCAAAGTACTGAAGAGCAACGATGTCATTCTGAAGAATAAGGTACACCTGATCCAGGCCATGGGCTTGCAGTCACTTGCTATGAATCATCAGAGAGCTGGAGAATGACTCGGAATGTAGAAAGAGAACTGATGCCTTTGAATTGTGGTGTTGGAGAAGAGTATTGAATATGCCATGGACTGCTA